GGTAAGGGGCATGAAGGGAGCTTGTTATTGTCTGAACTTAGATGAACAGAAAAAGCTTCCCTGATGAGTGACATTGAGCAAAGACCTGAAGGACTCAAGAGGCTGATCCAGGGTGATACTTGCGAAGAGGGAGTCCAGATGGAGGGAGGAGCAGGCATAGAGGCCAAGACAGGTGCTGGAAAAACAAGACCAATGTGGTTTGAGTGAAGTGTGTTAGGGGAAAAATAGTTAGAGATGGTGTCGAAGAGATGGTGGCCAGTCCAAAAGACAAGGGAAAGGAGGGAAATGATCTAACTGATGTTTTAAAATATTAGAATGACTTTTGTGACAATTCTTCCAGTATCTCAGGAAAGCTGTTAAAGACTTTTGTAATCTCAAAAATGCTTAGCCCCAAAGTATATCAGTGGAAGAGGAACTTTAACTTTGGGGAAATTTGTCTTTGGCTGTAAACTGAAGGAATTCTCCCTCATAAGCATTGCATATGCCAGGGATCGTGCCAGAGGATACTGATAAAGAACTCAGTCTCTTCCCACAAGGACACCTCAGTAGAACAATGAAACCCAGAGGAATACATAAATAGTGGACTAGAGTGATACGATAGAGTAAGCATGGAGTATGGAGGTAACGTGGAGCTGAGGCCACACAGACTTGTTAGGGCATCAGAAAGGTTGCACTGATCAGGTTAGTTAGTCAGGCAGAGAAAGAGAAGTGTCATCTTTTTTGATATAAAATTGAACCAACTGTGGCCACTGTAGGCTTCACTGACGTCTGATCTGTGGGGTCATCAGTGCCCTTCCTCTGTAGCTGTAGCTCTTGGGCATCTGAAGAAAGCTATCCGAACTGTTGGGTGGTCCAGATTTGGGCACTTCCTGTGCCGTGGTGGTGCCTGCTGATAGGGAAGGAATATAATGTGCTAGCTTATTCCTTCTATAATCACTGTACTGGGAATTCAGGTTTTTCTGTTGATGTCAAGATTTAACATGTTTTGTGAACTGCTGTATGAAAAGTGAATTTGCTCCATAAACTTTCACCCAAATCACAATAAAAAAAAATTTAAAAAAGATTTAACATGTTTCAAGAGCATTATTATTTTTCCCAGTTTCTCCTTGTTCCTGTCAAAAGCTTTGTTGCTTCAAACTAAATCTTTATAGGCTCTTTCATCTTTATCACTCTCTATGAGAAGTAAACATGATTTAAGTGAACCACAGTGAGAGGCCCTTCCTAGGTACAGAAAATAAGATGTGCCCCAGGTGACAAGTCCATGGAACAATGTACTTTGAATGTGGTGCCCAGAATTCCACATGCCTGAACTTTGAGGTCTGATGCAAAGCTACTGCCTCGGATCCCACTGAATGATCTGAAGTTTCACCAGTTTTGCCAACATCAGTGCAGATTCCTAAGTGACAGGGGTAATGAAACTTGAGGATACATAGACCCCTCCGATGAAGACTTAGGTGGGTGTCCTGGAAAACACCAAGGAAAGTAGCCATCATGGTTAAGGGAGCAAGTCGAGGACATATGAATTAGAGGTCACGCTGCCTCTGCTGTTAGGATTTTTTAGTTTACAAAATAAAGGGACAGACTGTCTAGTTTCAGGCAAGATAGCAGACTAACTGAATTTTAACAAAGGAAGCTTTAGGAAAATGGATGAAGATGCAGTTGGAAAGTAGAAGCCATGTTTCCTTGATACATACCTCAGCCCTGGTACTTTCTCTCCGGGAATTTTCCAAAATTGTTTTTTTTGGTAATCTTGCAGCTTGTATTATCATTATTTATATAGTCCTAATTATGCTTTGTGTGTGCCAGCTGTTTGGAGACTCATGTTTTTCCTTCTTTCTGTTGGCTCCCGTCATGTGTTAAATTGCTTAAACTGAGCTTTTAGTATTTCCAAAGCAATCATGATTTTTCTCTCTGTGTGCCTTTCAGAAGTGGATATGATTTATGTAATTGATCCATCAAAGAGGAAACCCTCCATAATATGGTTTATTAGAATAGGTGCATTGACCTTTGGTGCAGGTGACATGAAGATTGCATAGAATGGGTTTCTGCCCTCTGGGGGAATGTAAAACAGAGAATGGAAATATTACACCAATTCATAAATTAGTAAAGACCTTACACCATTTGTGTATCTGTGGGCCAAGCCTTTTAGAGGTGGAGAGCAACACTGAGTGTGCCCTTGGGGTTGGAGGTAAGATAGACTATCCATGAGAGTGACTTGTTGAAACTAGATACATGGAAGAGAAAAAATCATCACCCAGCCTTCCTGCTTCTAGGGTTTGATGAGGGGGTCTCTGCCACACTGGCCTGCAGGATAACAGCATTATAAGTTGGTTGTGGGAATTTGACTTGAACAGAAAAAAATTCTTTCATTTTTCCTGTTCTTATATCAGAATGGGAGTCCCTGGGTGGCACAAACAGTCAAACACTCAGCTACTGACTGAAAGGTGGTGGTTCAGATCCACCTGGAGGCAGCTAGGAAGAAAGGCCTGGTGATCCACTTCCCAAAAGTCACAGCCGTTGAGAACTCTGTGCAGTGCAGCCGTGCTCTGGAAGCACACGAGGCCACTGTGAACTGGAATTGACTCAGTGGCAACTGTTTTTTTTTTTATTATATTATTATTATTTAATTTGGATAATATCTGCAAGGCCATATTAAAATTCTGATGTCTGACCATTATACACTTCATAGGATTTGGTGCCAATGACAGAGGTGTTGAGTAAGGTTCATGAACACACTTCTTTTTTCAAGTTTCTTCCTGTTAGTCCTGGATGGCTGATTGCAGATGGGCTTGGTACTGCCTTGTACATAAATCAATAACAGCCTGTGGCAAGCAGGAGGCCATTCTAGCTGATCTCAACACAGGTTGCAATAACCAGCCAGCTCCTCTCTGAGGCATACCTTCAAGATGGCAGAGGGATTTGAGAATTGACCTTGAAAGGAAAAGTCCTTTTCCAGCCAGGATGATCTGCTTATTTTGACTGTGGAATTAGTACCCAGCAGCAGTCAGAGCTGGGAGCCTTGGTGGCATAGTGCCTAAAGCACTTGACTGCTGACCAGAAGTCTGGTGGTTCAAACCCACCAGCCACTCCTTGGAAGGAAGATGGGGCAATCTACTTCCGTAGTGATACTGCCTCAGAAACCCAAGGAGGGGTTGCTGTGAGTTGGGTCCAACTCGACAGCACTTAACAACAACAACAGTCAGAGCTGGCCTTACACTGAGAGCAGAGGCAGAAGCATGGCCCATTCAGCAGAATGTAGAGAACAGGGCTGGCAACAGTCAGACACTGAAAGGGTTCTAGGCCAGCGAGCCAGATGTGGAAACCTGGGCCCAGAACTAAATGAGAAGGGAAACAGACAAAAACTCAGGAACATTCATTCTGTCTATTCCATGACCCTGGCCTGGCTCTCACACTTTGGTTTCGGACTGAACAAGCTGAACTTTTTTGTATGTCAGGAAGGACTCAGACCTAGCTCCAACTTGTTTCTCTGATTTCAGCTCTTACCTTGTAAATACTAAACCTGCAAGTAGAGGTAGCTATTATATTGTTGCCTCTTTGGAGGTCACCCAAGGAATTCCTCCTAGGACTGAATTGCTTCTACCGTTAATGCCAGAGGCATGGAAGCCTTTGCTGGCCTTGGGGTCAGGGTGTCCTGGGTCAAAGGCAGAAGCAACTTCCTGAGTCTTATTGAAAAATAGACCCTGAAGAGTTGAGCTTTTCTGGGATTTCCCTTCACTTGCAAGTTACAAGTTTGTCTAATAGATGTACAACTCGATTAAATGCCAAGGCATCACAGATGCAATTATATTTAAAAACAAGCTTCTAATCTCTCTGCCATCACTGATTAATTAGACACTTTGAACTATGCCCAACTGTTTGAAAGCTGTGAAAAATACAACCTGCATGGTTAAAATTTCCACACAAGCTTATTTCTTCATTTGTGCCTGTATTCTTTTTTTAAAACCTTTCTTTAAACATAATATCTACATTTCCAAACATACAATCTGGCTATTTTCTTATCATGGTTAGAAATCCTTCCACCGTTGGCCAAGAAATACACTCACCCAGTTTTAAAATCAAATAGCAAAACTATGTAAGAGACCAACTAAATAATTTAGGCTTACCTTCAGATTGTTGCTGCCACTGGTCACACTCTCAAATTTTTTTTTTTCTCTTTAAATCTTACACAAATGCCTCAGAAAGGTTTGTTGTTAATGGTTTCTTTTTATTGAGGTTTTAGAATACTTCTGAGCCTATCAGGTGTGTGTGTGGGGGTTAGTTTGGGGTGTAGAAACTGCCTCATTCTGTGACATATAATTATTAGCTATATATCTGGCACCATGTTTTGCAAGTAATTTCCAGTCTGTCTTTTCAGGTAAATTACATTGAAAGGCCTACTTCACAAATGAAGAGCCCAGGCAGGGAATGTCTAAAATCGGCCCCAGCTGACTCACACTGACTGTACACTAGATTGTGGGACCGGGAAGTCTGGTCATGGTGAAGAAAATCAGTTTAAATATTTTTATATCCCTGGCTTGGAACTTTCATCAGTGACACATTCATATTCATGACGACCTTGAACTTCGAAGCCTGCTTACCTAAATTTCCATGGTCCTCAGTTTCTAGAAAGAGCTTTGTTTTGGACTGTCTTTTCTTTCTTTAATATGATGTCCCCAGTTGGGGACAAGTAACACTTCTTCCCACTTTTGAAGACATATTCCTATTGGACTTCACCTTTTTAAAAATAAATATAATTTATACATGTTCCTTCCCACTCCCTAATCTGCCCCCTGAATTCCAAACCAGATTTTGCCCTTTTCCAGAAAAGCCAGACTGAATCAAGATCTCTCTTTATTGAGAATGAGGAAACTCTCCACCCCCTTTGTATGCCAGATTGCTCTTGATGAATGTGAAGAAAGCAGAGCACAGTACAGTCGAAAGGCTATCGGTAATTGTACGATCCTGATTGTTATTGACTTCTTCTTCCCTCACCCTCCTAGGTAACAACTTGCCTGATTGCTGTGGCTAAAACAGATCATGAAGTTCAAGTGCGCAGAGCTGCCATCCATGTGATTGTGCTGCTGCTTCGGGGACTTAGCCAGAAAGCTACTGAGGTAAGGCAGTCTCTCCATTTGCAACTTTTATACCTCATTGTCCTTTGTCTGTTTACTAGACCTTTCACTAGCCCAGGCCTCAAACCTTTCCCTAGATGGACTCATGCTGATGCATCAGTCAACAGGGATTTTGTAGCAGGAAGATTGCATCTACAATCAGAGTTCCTATTTCCTCTGTCACATTAGGTAAACTACATACTAACTAGGAGCTCTGGTGATGTAGTGCCTAAGGCACTTGACTGCTTGGAAACCCAAGGAGGGGTCCCTATTAGTTGGGTCCGACTCGATGGCACACAACAGCAACAACAACATACTAACTATGAGTAGTGCCTAAGGCATTTGACTGCTAACCAGAAGACTAGTGGTTGAAACCCACCAGCCACTGCTCGGAAGGACGATTGGGCAATCTACTTCCATAGTGATACTGCCTCGGAAACCCAAGGAAGGGTTGCTATGAGTCAGATTCGACAGGACGACAGTGAGTTTGGTTTTGGAGTTTACATACTAACTACTGCAGAAAGACCAAAGCACAACACCATCTTATAGATGTAGGCTTGGAATCCTGGCATTCTCCTTGGAGGAGCAGGTTCCAGGGTGAGTTACTGGAAACACACTAGCCATGTCTCCGCAGTTTGAGCTTTAATAACTTGCCTTCCTCACTCATTTAATTGTTCATACTGAAGTACTAAAAGACCTCATTTTAAATGTTTCCTTTCTATCAGTGAATTCCATCCATAAAATTTTAGTTTCTGCATAAATTAAATATTCTTCCTTCTCTTAAGTGGGAGAGGCTAGATTTCTCCCCAGGGTGTGGTCAATGCAGGAGGAAAGTATATATGTCCATATATGTGCTGAGAATGAGTGACCTCTAAATTAATTTTCTTCTTTATTTTAATGGAAAGTTGTTCCCAGTTGAATTTATGGAGATGATTTGCATTAATAATTTACTTACTAGAATTCACAGTGCTAGGCTGTGGCTGACACATCAGTATCTAACTAAATAAGAGTGATTTCTTTGTCAGGCAAACAGGCTTTATTCATGCTACCATTTCGCTGTATCAAGTTCTTGACACTATTTTTGTACAAGCTTAAACTCATTAATTATCCCCTTCCTCCCCTACACATACACATTTTCTCTGAAATATCTACTTGCTATTGTTTCTGGCCAGCAGCTAGACCATTGAGATTCCAAATGGCTACATCCCTGGGCTTTATTCTCAGCTGCATGTCTCTCCTTCCTGATCTGCATTGTGTAGGTTTAGGTTTTGTATTGAATGTGTTTATCTGGTAATAAAGTGTTCAGCTGCAAGTTATTAAAACCCCAACTGTAATGGTTAAACAAGTAGGGGTTTGTTTTTCTTACAGGAAATCTAGGTAGGTGGTGGCTGGCATTGATCTAGCAGCTCAGTGTTATCTGGCCCAATATTTCTGCAGTCCTCATGGCCTTTGTCTCATGGCTACAAAATAGTTGCTGTAGCTCTGGCCATTGCAACTGATTTAAACTAGTAAGAAGGAGGATGGAAAAATGGCAGCCCTTTTGTTCCTTTTTGTGGGGAAAGAAAATAGTTTCCCAGAACCTTCCAGCTGACTTCCTTTTTTTTTTTCTTTTTTAATTTTTATTGTGATTTGGGTGAAAATTTACAGAGTAATTTGATTTTCCATAGAGCACTTCGTACACATTTGGTCTCATGATATTGACTGCAATTTCCCATACTGTAGCAGCTCTCTTCCCACTTCCTGTCCATAGTTACCTCTTCCCTGTGTCCTTCCCTCCCAGGCACTCCTGCCCTCTGAGTGATCATCCTGTGCATACACTGCCCTTCTCTTCTCCCATGATTGAGCTCTCCAAGGAGTGTATATACTGGTCTTTTATTGGACTGGAAGGCACAGGAATTCAATTCCAGACCTGAGGGGCAGCTAGGGCCTATGGTCTCAAGGGTTTCACCAAGCTCTATCAGACCAGCAAACCTGGTCTTTTTTTTAAAAAAATAATTTTGAGTTTTATTCCCCATTGTTCTCTCACTCTATCCAGGATCTCCTACAGAGATCCGCCTCTCAGTGGTTGACAGTGGTAGCCTGGCACCATCTAGTTCATCTGGCCTCATAATCATATATAGGCTGAGGATCACACAGTGTACCAGTCCCTTGGGGAGTCATTGTTTCCATGTGTCTTTGGTTTTTTTCACTCTTCTTTTCTTTGGACAAGGAGAGACCCATCGTTGCATTTAGATGGCCACTTGCAAGATTTTAAGATCCCAGTCACTATTCACCAAAGTAGGATGTAGAACAATGTTTTTGTGTAGTATGTTATGCCAATTGAGCTTGATGTTTCTTGGGACCATGGTACCGAGCCCACAGGTCCAACTACTCATTCCCTCTGTGTAGCTGGCTGTGGCCAAGAAGTCACCACAACCTTGTCCTCTGTCAGCTCTACTGTTTACCTGGACATTCTTACAGAACATACAAATATGCTTATAGAACCATCATCTGCCAACCCTATACATGGTCACGGGCACACTCCCCCCTGCATAGACATACCTGATCGTTCAGCCTGTCCCCCCATCTTTCCACTCATATATCCATGTTTGCCATCACTGACAGCGCAGTACTATATGTGCAAAAGGGTTCATCTTTGTTGTTTATATCTCCCATGTACCTCTCTATGTCTTCCTCTTCCTCAGTGCCACTGTATTGATCACTCACATTTGGTGCATTGCCCTTCCCTTCACCCAAATCAATACTTGTCTCTACCTATCTAGCAGTGTTCCCTCCTTCTCCTCCCACCCCTGGTAACCAACAAAGAAAGTTTCCTTCTATATATAAACCTTTCCTTGACTTTTCACAATAGTGAACTTATACAATATTTGTCCTTCTGTGGTTGACTTATTTCACTCAGCATTACGTCCTCCAAGTTCATTCATGTTATGCAATGTTTTGCAGATTCTGCGTTATTCTTTATGGTTGCATAGTATTCCATTGTGTCTAAGTACCACAGTTTGGTTATCCATTCTTCTGTTGATGGGTATCTAGGTTGTCTCTATCTTTTTGCTATTGTAAATAGTGACTTCCATTTTATTTCATTGGCGAGAACAGTCTTACATAATTTTTCCTGCAAGATAAATTGGGAATGTATTTCACTGGGAACGTTTCTATTCTGAACAAAATTGAATTTTAGTTAATCAGGAAGATGCCAAGAAATGAAGAAATGGATATTATGTAAGCAATTAACAGTGTCTGATGCAAAGAGGAGGGGAAGGAGGATCATGAAAACTCCTGTAGCAATAGAGTTGTAACTGGGAACACTCACCCAGAGGCCTTAGGGGTTCCAGGTTATTATCCGGGATCTTGATGAGGGTGATGAACATATAGATCATAACTCAGTATTCACATAATCAAATAAATAGCTATAGGGTGCACACAATGCTTGTTGAGAAGCTGATGTACAAGAGGTATAAGAAAGGGTCAGTGTTTTTCATTCATTGTCAATGTTATGTAAGATGTTAACAGTAGGGAAAGTGGGTGAGGGGAATGTGGGCACTCTCTTCATAGGCAGTCCCTGGGTTCCAAACATTGAATTTATAGACAACTCCTACTTGCCCTTTAGTATTATGTAGATTTGCCTCCCTTTAAAATGATTGAACCTACCCCTGTTCACAACAAATTCTTCATCACAATCACCTTCACTTGCTGCATGTGCAGCTTTTAAGTCATTGAAAAGGCTTTGAACCTTTTCTTACATTAACCAAGCCAAACTCACTGCCATCAAGTGGAGTCCAACTCGTAGCAACCCCTCCTTAGGTTTCCGAGGCGCTGTCTCTACGGTACTAGATTGCCTAGTCTTCCTTCCCAGGAGTGGCTGGTGGTTTTGAACTGCCAGACTTCTGGTTAGCAGTCAGATGCCTTAGGCACTACGCCACCATAAGAACTGTATACACCTGTTCCGACGCACCTACAAATTCCACTTAAAGACAGGAGCAGATCTCATTTGTAACCTGGGAACTGACTGTACTATCTTTGCAACTTTCTGTAAATCTAAAATGATTTCAAAGTAAAAAAGTTTATTTAAAAATATAAATCATGACATTGTTTTAAAAATCTACAAAACTCTAAATGTACACACACTTAGTAAGTGTGTTTGTATATTGAAGCACAGCAAAGTGTCCAGTTAGCAAAGTGAGAGAAAAAATAGAAGGAAACTCTTACCCAGTGAAAGCAACACTAGTACTAAAATTATTTGTGACCATGTAAGATTTTTGTCACTTTCACAAAGTCATGTGAGTGAAAACTCTCTCTCCTATTCTCCAAACCATCTCTAGTCTGCACTGACTGAAACTTAGAAATTGTGCTTAAAAAAAAAACAAAAAACAAACTCACTGCCATTAAGTCGATTCCAACTCATAGTGACCCCCTTTGGGTTTCCAAGGCAGTAAATCTTCACAGAAGTAGATTGTCCACTCTTCCTTCTGTGGAGTAGCTGGTGGGTTTGAACCACCAAGCTCCTGGTTAGTAGTCAAATGCCTTAGGCATTACACCACCAGAGAGCCTTAGAAATTGTGCTTTATTGTTGTTATGTGCTGTTGAGTCGGACCTGACTCATAGTGACCCTTCCTTGGATTTCCGAGGCAGTATCACTATGGAAGTCCTTCTGAGGAGTGGCTGGTGGGTTTGAATTGCCAGCCTTCTGGTGAGCAGTTACGTGCCAGGAGTTACCAGAGCTCCTGAAATTGTGCTTACTCAGTGAATAAAAAAAAGGAAATGGGATGGGATGAATGCTGATTCCTCTTTCTGGTGCATCTTGAGACCAGGTGTGTTAAATCTTGTACTCTTAGGTGTGATTATAATCAGGGGCACTTTTATGAGAAGCGTAGCTAACCACAAAGCTTTCAATCTGAGATTTCTCTTTATTGCTATTTTACCCCCAGCAGCAAAAATGAAAATGCCACTTTGTTGACCAAGTTTTTTTTTTTTTTTTTCCTTTCTAATCACTGACTCTCTAGCCA